CTGTCCTAACAAGCTCAAGAGAATTCGGACTAAACTAAGAACTATTTCTGCTTGAATAATTCGAGCCATTTCATATATTATTCATTCCCTTCTCTAACAATAATATCTGATTTTTTTTCCTCTTCTTTGACTAACAATTTAACGATAAATCTTATAAGTTTTGTATTACATTATAGATTTTTGAATCATTAAATAAAATTTTATTTTATTATTTAATACAACATTTTATTAAGAAATAAGTTTGGTGTTCTATGTCAATATTTCGATACTTTTACTATCATTGTCAATACATACTATTGTGGTTCGCACTAATAAATATGGTTTAAAGAACGAAAAAAAATCGAACATTTGTCTGTTGCTCCTAACAGGAAAGCTTACAAATATAACTAGAATGGATGAAATCAGTGTTATGAGTCCTTATAATACTAATTATGTGCATCTATAGTAGTGCACCAATTACTGTTTCATTTTAACTTTTATCTTATTTTTTGTTGTACCTCCTTAAAATATATTATGAGTGATACAGAGCAAACAGTTCTATTTATTGTAGATTGATGAACAGCTCTGACTACACTAAGAAAAAAGTACAATTAACAAACTTAAAGGAGGTTCTGAATTTAGCAACGAACTCGAAGTCTTTTTGAAGTTTCGTAAAAATATGATTTTGTACAAAATTATTTTTACCTCATATCAAAAATGTGTCATAGTCAAAATTTCAACTGCATTTCAATGGAACACTGTTGGCTGTCTTTATATATCAGTATACTCATCTACTTTGCAAGAAAAACCCTTTTATGAAAAACTCGGACAGGATTTCCGAGACCTCGGAAACCGCAGCAGTATCCAAGGAGTAAGGTATGGGAATTCTCTTAATTTCTAAGATCACCATCTAAAAGTGACATATCCCTCGAGGAACTGAGAACTGACCCTCAAGCACTTCACGAGACCTCTTCGGTTCCTCATCGATCCCTTCTCGTCAATAAATCACAATTCATTACAAAGACAGTTCCCAAATCACGATACCTTCTCATTTCCTCATTTTCTTCCATGGGAATTGACCACCGACAATCCCTCAGATAAGGAATCGAGGAAATAACTAGAACTAACCGTCAATACTGATTGGGGAAACTGACATCAACATTAGCCATCATCATTCAAATTCCATAAGAAGGACCCAGACAATGACAGTTCTGCTGACAGTTCCTAGAAACTAGGGCGGATACCTAGAAGGTTTCTAGGTATTCATCCCAATTCCTAGGAACTATCAGCAGAACTGTCACAATTCCCTAGTTCCCTGGCTTTTTCCGTCTTCGGTATAATTGGAGTATCTAATGAATACTACATCATTGCCTCATTTCCCAGTAACCATCAGCAGAAGTTAAATCTTTCCCTAGTCTCTATTGTGCCGTAAACGAATCAAGAAAGCCTCCCGAGAAGTATAGAGTTTATATCGGAAAAAAATCAAAAACCTCATTTCTTCTCATTTCCTTGACACATTCCCCACAGTTCTGCCCAGTTCTAAATGACAATTCCTTGGTTGAAATTTCGGTGACCGATTCCCCAGAAAAAATAAAGAATTATCCCTATTAGCAAAGTGGTATACAACTGAGCTAATCAATCCTCGTCGAATCAATAGGAACTTAGAGCAGGTTCCTTCTAGGTATCTACCTCAGTTTCCCGGGGAATTGAGGTAACGACGTAGTACTTTTTAGATATTAAAATTACATCGGATATGAAAAAAGTCAGGGAACTGGGGAATTGTGACAGTTCTGCTGATAGTTCCTAGGAATTGGGATGGATACCTAGAAATCTTCTAGGTATCCACCCTAGTTTCTAGGAACTGTCAGCAGAACTGTCACAATTCCCTATTTCCACGGCGTATCCTCCCATTTATGTGGTAATTGTTGTTGTCTGGGTCCTTCTTATGGGATTTGAATGATGATGGCTAATGTTGATGTCAGTTTCCCCAATCAGTATTGACGGTTAGTTCTAGTTATTTCCTCGATTCTTTATCTGAGGGATTGTCGGTGGTCGATTCCCAATGGGAGAAAATGAGGAAATGAGAAGGTATCGTGATTTGGAAACTGTCGTTATAAGGAATTGTGATTTATTGACGAGAAGGAATCGATGAGGAACCAAGGAGGTCTCGTGAAGTGCTTGAGAGTCAGTTCTCAGTTTTTCGAGGGATATGTCACTTTTAGATGGTGATTTTAGGAATTGGGAGAATTCCCAAATCTCAGCCCTTAGACACCCTTCGAAATTCTTGCTGGAGAAAGTCTTGTTGGCAAAATTCTGGAACTCCAAAAATTGCATGGACTTTGAATTTATTTAACCCTAAACCAACTATTAAGAGAGGGGCACATTATTACGTAAGAGAACTATTAATTGTGATTACCAACGAAATACGTGATCTCTGTCTTCCACTTTTTTATTAATATGGATGGATATGTTAAACTACTAGAGGTCTAGGTTAATTTAGATGCGTGAAACATATAGTCCATTTTGAATGCTATGATTCTTTCGGTAAAATATTAAACCGCTCAAAGATTTAGGGAAGAAAGAGATGTGCTTGTTACATAATTGAAACACTCAATTAACCCAAGAATAAACTTCTTGTGCACAAAGAAAAATTCCAGAAGCAGTCATTTAACATGCATAATCAATTATAGAATGAATGTAAATAATTAAACAGAAGAAAGGAGTTCGATCAGTCGAATTGTTGATTGATGAACATATATTTCGATAATAGTTGAGACGAGACAAAAGTAATCTGGTGCGAAACCTCTTGGCTACCATGCCTTTAGAGAGTATTATATAAAACCTTTTTCGAGTAGAAATACTTCTAATGACCTTACACGAAATCTGAAAGAGTTCAAACTCTTAAAATGGTTGCGTGCGTTTGTACGATACTTTAAAAGATATGGTAAAGTTCCATAAAACCTCATAAATTTCGCAGCGTGTCATTTTTTTTCAGTGTACTTTAAAATAAAAACTTCTACTGTTACACTGAATAAACCTTGTTTTGCAGCATTAACAGCAACTAAAATTTTATATTCAATGGTGATTGATAATGTTTGTCTTCTATATATACAGAAACTTTAATATATTCTATATGTATTTTGCATTCCAGCATGCACTTCTAATGTTTGTATTATGGTTTTGAATTCATTTGCTGAAAAAAATAAAATTGATTACATACTTCATGGCAACAATAAATAGATGCTGTCTATATTAGTGTTTGCCATTGTTCATTCAATAGATTATCATACACTTTTCCAAAACAAAAGAATCATTATTTTGCTGCTGAATAATTGAACAATTGTCTATGTTCACTTTCTTTAAATTCCTTTCTCAAAACCGTTTAGTAGATGAAACTGGTTTTTAACAATCGATGTAAACAAAAAAAAATATAAAATTATGGAGGCAAAAATCCAACAGTCATTCAGATTATTTAGCCGTCATGCACTTTGTTTATATATTGATCAGCAACTATTGAATGATAATATTATGTCTTAAAAGCTCTAAATGTTAATAGCTACCTGCATCAAATAACTAGTCAGTTTTAAATAGCTATACCAATATTGAAATAGGTGAATGTTTAATTGAAAAATATCTCTTTTGAGAAGCTACGGTCGACATAAATATATTACTGTTTCCTTATGAGAAAACATCTTTTATTGAAAAATGACATCTGACTTTCATTTTTCTATAATAGTTTGTGGATAGTAATACAAATGAGTTCGTTGTAAAAATTCATAATAGTCATTATTTACAGACAACGCTCATTGTATATTCTTTTTTTTTGTAAGACGTAATAATTCGCATAGGAGTACATTTTATCATTCTCAAATCTATTTGACTTGTTCTTCGAATAGTTGTTAATTGAAAAGCAAAGATATATTTTAATAATTTATTCGCTTCTAATTATACTGTTTTATGGTAGATCCATTGGTATAATAAACAAAGCTCGTATTACTAATGTTGATCAAAGGAATGATGATACAAACTGGATTTTACAGAATTGACAAAAAACGCTTATTGTGATAGATTGTAAATGTGAACTTAATTTTTGTTTTAATAAGACTTTAACAGTGAACACCTGATTCGCACCTTTATCATCACCAGTACCGAATCTAGTTTCATTTTCAATTTTAAATCAAATGGAACTTCTGTCTGACGTGAACATGGGATGATCTGAATTTGTATTAGAGTTTCTTCTTTGAAACAGAACCAACTTATATCAGTGAATGCAAAAGATTTATTGAATCGACCATTAGTATTAGTTCGAAGACAAAAAAAAATTAAAAATTTCATAAAAGTTGAAAAACAATTGTTTCTTAATTACTCACTATTTTTGCATGATAGAGTAAAATATTTCGTCCCGTTATTATTAAAAAAGAACAGACAAAAACATTATCCTAATCGACTTTTTTCATATTTTAAAAGTTTCATCAAAACTGAATTTACAATCAACTATCTTAATAATAATATTATTGCAACATGATAACGTTTGATTTCCAATATTTATTCAGATGATTGATATAAATTGTTCTCCATGTTACCATATACATATATAATGGAATATCATCACATCATAAACATCGTACACATTAACATCCTCATTCAATGCATTAACAGCATTAAATATTGTGTACTATGTTAATGATACATTATTAGACATGGCTACTATTACTAACACTTATCTTATATGTATACACTCTCATGCATAACAGTACTACAAATAACCAGATATGGAGACATATGTTGCTAATGAAAAGTGGTTCTATTACTAATAATATTTTATCAACAATCGATGCAGGTGGTATACTATAGATTGAAAGCAGCGAATATTGTATTCGTATATTTAACAGATATGAAACAAAGTCAGTATTCTATTGCCATTATAAGCATTGAAATTGACGTAAGTCTGTGGATAAAAAAAAAGAAAAGAAAATTGTTTCATTTTGTTTTTGAAAATAGAATATTGTGCTTGTATTATATCAAAAGTTTGACACTGTAAAATATCCATCATATAACTCTATCGAGAAGATCCATTTGTTTATTTGTTCAACAATATGATACAACCATTGACAATACCAATGGATAGAGTCAGAATATGATGATAATCCTATCCACTGAATCCACCATCGATACGGTTGCATTGACAGATGAGCTAAGTGATGATTAGCAACTGTTGCATAATTTGACACAACGATTCCATCCACAACTAGCTTGCCACTTAGTGTTAATGGAGCATAAAAACCTTGGCTTTTAATTAATTGAATATTTATAATAGATCCAGCTTGTTTATATCCATCTTTAGTTATGACTTGTAATTGATCACCAATTTTTAAATGTCCAGCAAAAATTGGATTTTTTTCATTAATACGATAGATAAGATGATTACTTGAAATGATCAATGATTGTTCAGAAATATTTTCTACTGATATTTTTAAATAATCATATAATCCATTAGGACTTGCATGAATAAATGAATAGATAGGCTCATATATACGTTGATTATAATTATTAATGTCAACAAGTATTTCATCACCTATTTTAAGATTATTCATTGATATACGTTCTTTTGTTAATTTTATTTCTACAGTTGAATGACTTGAAAAACATGTCGTAATTTGATCTGATCGACATTTATATGCCCAACAAAATGTACCATTAGATGAAGCTTGTGTACATACACATGTTGTCTCAAAACTATATCCTGTACCAACAGCAACTGTTTTCAAAAAATAGCAATGAAGAATAATTTTGATTAAAAACACTTCAATCGCATACATGTGGATGATATGTATATGTTTGTAAATATAAAATGATATTGATGTTTTGATTATATATGTGTGTTCTATCAAGCATATCTTTCTTTTACTTTGATTTCTATATTACTGTTTGTTTTTATTGGTTAATCATTGACATACAAAACAATAAAACACAACTGATCAATTATACTTTAATAAATAATATATATATATAAACTTGATAAATCAACATCTGGTTATTCGATCTCGTTCTTTTGTTTCTTACAAAAAAATTTAATAGAACATTTCCATATTGTTTATGGCACATATGTATACATTTACAAGCAATTATCTGCCTCTTGTCTGATCCTTACAGGCGAAAATAAGATCAGTCAATACAAGTTGCCAGACATACAGATACTTTTGAACAAAGATGTGTTTATCTAACGATCGGTTTTCCTATGTATTCTTTTTTTTTTAATACATTAACACGTTTATCCCTTGATTGCATAGAAGATTATATAGAGAACAATGATTGCGCGTGACGAGAATCGATGTAAATGTCGTTCATAGGATATGTAATTGAAAGGATATATAGCATATAAGTGTCTCTCTCATTTTTTTTTTGTTGTTTCCTATCTTGATCTAATCAACATGAACATGTGCATGTCTGCACTGTCATATTTGTCTTTATTTTATCGTAGAAAGTATTTCTAATAATAAGAAAAGAAAAGATTAGCATCACAAAATCATGTAAGTAATGAAATGCCTTTGTACATTCTTTTCTCCTGTACATATATACTATGTCGGATACAATAAGATATCTGATTTATCATATCATGGTTAGGTTTTTTTTTTGATCATCACATCCTCGTTTGTCTTTCATCAATACCATCTGTTCTTCCTCTTTTTTTAATACTGTCTTAACAGATACAAGTAGTTTTTATTTCATCATCACATCTCTTGTTATTTTTTCTATATTCTTAATTTCATCCTATTTATAAATAATTCAATTAATATTGATCGTCGATCGTCCATAAAAATGACACGACAAATCAACAAGTGAACAAAGAGATTTCTTTTTTTTCTGCTTAAATCGTCTGATGAAATAATACTTATAAAAAAAAAATAGTTTCAAGTAAATTATTTTGACGTGACTAGATTGATAAAAAAAAAACAAATTAGTAAAACAAGAACTGTGACATGCTCATTATTGAAGTTATTAGTTTCAGAATCGATGATAGTATATTGAAAGTATGACAAGCTTATTATTTATTCATCTAATCAATCATATAGTATGTTTTGATAGAGAGATGATCATCAAAACAAAAAAAAAGAAAGAGAAAATCAATTCTTTTTCTCCTCTGCCAATTAAAGCCTACACACTGCCATCGGTCATGTTCTATTCATGACAGTAATCGATAGGCAACAATAACGCATTCAACGTCAATATTTGTCTGTATTTGTGATGACCCCTTCTTGTGTAAAGAAGACGAATGTATCTATATATGTATGTTTAATGAGGAGAAATACTTCGGAGCAAAATCAACTAGATGATTATTCGATACTGGGCTTAAATGTTTATTCATTTTATTGAGATTCATAATGATAATCATAGCGCAGATGTTTCATATATGCTAAATTCTTGCCCTATTTACATATTGTTTGACAAGTTGGCTAACTGCCAACATAATTTTTCATTTTCAAATAATGACCATAGTTCATCATGTGACTTTTTTTTAAACAGAAAGTTAGGTACCATTTGTGACCAATTGTCATGCGTTCCTTCTTTTTTTTAAGTTGTGCTCGATGCATTCACTTTTTTTTTCCCATCATAATCTTGACCGAACGTATGAATAAATGAGAGTAGTGAGGCGGAAGCTCTTTTGCTTGCGGAAAAAAAAGAAAGAGAAAAAAGAAAACCTGTTGTAATGAGTCCCATCACACTAATTCCTGATTGGAGTGTCGTTCTAACTGAGTTCACCTCTACTGTTTCTTTTTCTTTCTCTCTTTCGCCATTTTTTTGTGATATGTTCCTTAATTATCCTTTTCTGTCTACTCGTTTTTTTTTCTTCTCTTTCTCTTCGCATTTCTTTTCCAAAAATATCTCTAGTCGTTCGTCGATTTGTTTCCTTCTTTTTCTTTACTAGTTCAGTATCGACCGCAAAGCGAACACATACACGCACTTACAAGCACACACATACACATTCTCGTTCCATCTATCTTTAAAAAAAAGAAGAAGAAATAATAATATGTCGAGCGTTGAAGTTCAACATAGTGAACGCCTTCCAATGTTATCATCAACTGAAGAAAATGTTCATTCAAATCCAACTATGACAGTATCCATACCAACAGAAACTACAACTGTGGTTAAAAAGTATGTCGAAGTTTCTTTCCTTCTTTTTGCGTGCATGATTATTTCATTATTTAGAACTGTCGATACTAATATTAATCCTGAGGATAATAATAATTTTATTCAAGTTGTTCGACCATTATTAGTTGAACTTGTATGTGAATAAAACAAGAAAAAAAAGGAAATTTTCGAATTATTTCTTTTTCTGTATTAGATTGGTACAACATTATTTGTTCTTATTGGTATGTGGGGTGCCTGTTCAGATGGTGGCATGATTGCTAATGCATTATCATTTGGTTTGGCACTAATGGTATTAACAGCTAGTTTTGGTCATATATCAGGTGTTCATTTGAATCCATCTGTTACAATTGGTGTTTTAATTGCTGGTGAAATGCAACCTATTATGGCAATACTTTATTTTGTTGTACAACTTTTAGGAGGTAAAAATTGTCTTATGAATTTTAATTTGTTAAAAAAGTAATTTATTAGGCATTGCTGCTGGTGGACTATTACGTTTATTACTTGCAAGAAAAACTTATGAGACATGTTTTGGTGGAGCAACATTATTGAAAACATATGGTCCATTGAATATAACAACTATTAATGGACCAACTTATTATGCAGCTGATTCTGTACGAATTTGGCAAGTATGTATTAAGTAAAAAACTTTTTCATAGGACATTCATTTTTTTTTTTGCTAAAGGGAATTATAATTGAATTTCTTGCTACATTTATACTTGTTACTGTTATTATTATGGTTGCAATTGATACAAAATCAAAAACTGGACTTGCACCCCTTTTAATTGGATTTACTTTAGCAGTTAATATTCTTGCTATGTAAGTTGAATGAAAGTTTTTAGATTGATAGGCAGGATATTTCTTTTTGTTATATAGTGGAGCATATACTGGTGGTTCACTTAATCCAGCTCGTACACTTGGTCCAGCTGTATTTGCTGATAAATGGGATTATCATTATGTTTATTGGATTGGTCCACTTGTTGGAGCTATTATTGCTGCTCTTCTCTATCGGTAAAATGAAAAAAGAAAAAAAAAACTTATTTTTTTTAATTTGTTTTTTTTCTTTTATGTTATAGAACGGTTTGGGCACATCATGATCGTCGTATGTTTGTTAAACGTACAACAACAACAACAACAACACCATTGGCTGTGAAACAATAAAAAATGATTGTACGTTTTTTTGAAAATATACACATACACATTTCTTTTTTCTCTTGTATTTTGTGTTGTGAATATTAATTGGATAGAATTCATTAAGCGAAACTTGATGTTCATACTGTTTTGATGTGTTTATTATTCGTTTGGCTTATTTTCTCATAAATATTTTCTAATTCATTTTATTGTTTTTGTGTGTATATATATATATATATATAGACTAGGTTTCATGATTTTACTTTTTTTGTTAGCATAGAAAATGTTTAGTGTGAACTTCTATTTGTCTTATTTGTTGCTCAAATGTTGATGAAGAATGAAAAAAAAAACAAAACTTGTTGTGTTGTGTGTATATGCAAGATATTCTATTGAAGCGAATAAATTAAAACAAAAAAAATAAATTATTTATTGGGTTGGAAGAAAAAGAAACGGTTTTCATGTTTCAGAAAAAAATATGTCTTGTGTTAGACTCCAGGAAAAATTCTATTAAGATTTAATCGCCTTAACTTACTTATTTAATCCTTTGTTTGGTGTCAGATTTCGAATATGGTGATTATTTAGGCGATGATAATAGCTAAGTTTTACTTGAAAAGCCAAAATCTAAGTTTTTTTTTAATGAGAAATTATCGGTAACTTTCGACCAAAATTAATTTATTTGAATGTTGAAACACGCTGAATAGTTTTGAATTAAAGCTACTTAGTAAATAGATCACACAAACTTGTTATATGAGACCAAGATGATGTGGTATCTTATATCTCTTTGAGTCTTGTGTGTTATTAATTTTTTAAACCTGTAACCATTATTCAACTTTCTCTGGTTGAAACTTACAAGGAAACGTTTGTAAGTGTCAAATCATTTTTGAGTCCGAACGTTGTCCATCATGTAGGTTCGAATGAAAAGAGTTCACATTAATAGCTTATTAATGTTGAGATACTTTTAGCAGGACTTTATACTCGCTTCAGGAAAACTGAGATTCGAATTTTGACTTAAAACTTTTCATGAAAACAAGTTTTAACAAGCATAATTTATTGTCAAAATTTCAGATTTTTTGATTGCACCTATCTTAAATTAAGAACATTGGAATTCCTCGTTGCATATGAGTGACGTGGAAAGCATATTTTTACCATAGCTGTTTCTTAGGATAGAAGCAATCAAAAGACATAAGAAATTTACAATGAATTCTTCTCATTAAGGCATGTCTCCATGGAAAGTTTCAAGTCAAAATTCGAAACTCAGTTTTCCTAGTGTTCCTAAGAGAACTACGACGTTCTGCTAAAAATATCTCAACAATAATATGTGTTTCCTCGACAAAATTTAATCTAAAGCAGACCCATATTTAGAAATCTGATTCATTCATTTATTCCAGATTATCTATTTCGTTGGAGTATGGTTTTTCGATAAAAGACTTTTGAATTTTTTAAAATAAAATACAACATAAATATAATAATGACATCAATGAGATCACAATATCAGAAATTACTGAAGGCACATTATTAAATATTAAGCGCTATCATTTCATGTAGAAAAATTTTCTAGAAAATGGTATTAAACATTAATGCACGATATAAAGGTTATGTTGACAAAAGTGCTTGGTATAGAAAATAAGAAATAGAATAGTTATTGACACTTATCTTCTAATAATAGAGCATTTTGGAAAATGAAAAATATTTTCTATGTTCACTTAAGAACTTTTTTAACAGGAATGCAACAAAAGAATCAACACTTATCTAATTACTGTGTGCATCGAACGTTGTTTATTGGTCTATATTATAAAAAGCAGTAATAAAAATTATAGTTCTTTAGTATTATCTAAAGTAATGGTGTTCGAATTTTCACGTATTTGAAGTAAGTTTCATGATCTACTTTGGCTATTTACATAGTAATTATTCCGTATGCTATTATTTGTATGTGTAAAAGTTATAGAATTACAATATTGGTTAATGTACACATATTTCCATCGATTATTCATTAAACTTTCATGTATTTTATGATAGATGATTAAATTAAAAGTTTGATGTGCCTTAACTGATCGACTTAAGATCAATTTTCGAATTCTATCGGGTGAAGATAACACTATCAAACTAAGAAGTCTTATCTTAAGAATGAGATAGTGTTATTTGCTCTGCAATTTGTAGGATTTTTCATACATAGAAACAACTTGTGTTTTTCTCTCTGTAATCTCAGTGTTAACTGTCTTAACTAATTAAATTAAGATGAACTACTCAACATATATTTGAAATAAATTGATATGGAATGTCTTGTTTTTCAATAGAAAAGTTACGCGTAAATTTTTATCGTTTGAGTCTAACGCGAAGATATTTATGTCAAAGTAGTGTTAAATCTTTTTCCTGTAATTGAACTACCTAAAAAGTTCATTCTACTGTTGAATGATGCATCTCTGAGCTTCTTTGAATTCTCTAATAATATACAATCGTTTCAATAAGTTGGTTGAAAATTATAGTAAGTATAGATGATGTAATGCGATAATGGATATGTATGTTATTTAGTTCTTTCCGAATGCATGCTATATTTAAAAGCGCATTCTATTGACGTTTTGCAGCCGACAGAAAAGAAATTCTTTAAGTACCCTTCTCATTTTGATGGGGAATCAGTTAAATCAATATGATCCTAATGATAGCCTCATAGCAAGATGACGCTAACTTTTGTAACAGATTTTTTTCCATACTTTCTTTTGCTATATGTAGAACTGTATAATGACGAGATAATATTTTATCATTAATTATGATAATAAATAGATTTTCAATATAGTATTTATTGATCATTTCAATATACAAATCATATACAAAAAAATATCAGATTAGATGATATGTCAACTGCTGAAATTTGACACGTATTTTATCGTTTTCTCCATCAAAGTATGTTAAAATCATAGAATTAAATACATATGCAAAGCAAGCGTAAAATCTCTGTCGAATCTGCAGAGATATATTCTAAAAAAACTATAACATCATATTTTCTGTTTAGGTTTAATTAAGGGTATCGATTTCTTTAATAATGTGCATTTTTCGTATGATAGATGAATATATGATCTCAGAAACGGTTGAATATGATAGAGAAAAGCTTTTTTCAGAAAAACTTTTTCGACGAAAAATGCCTAAGGTATTCTCTAATTTCAAATATATTATTTTTGCTGATTAAATATTTTTTCAAAGCTAGAAAAAAAACATTAAAAAAAACCTAGTTCTTTTGGAAATTCTCTATGCATTCCAGGAATATTTGCGCTAATCGGAATTAGAAACAGTAGACAGAAGAATATACTCGGAACATTTGGAAAAGATTAGAGGTTGAGTGTTGGTGGACCACTCATTTTACTAAATTAGCCATTCGAATAACAATATAGGAAAAAACTATTCTTTTTTTTGTGAGAAGTTCTGCTTAAAAGTTTAATTTTGTGAGATATGAATTTTCTTGGCGGAGTCACGTTTTCCAGTCTTGATTTTGGACAACTAGTTTTCCAGTTTCTTTGAAAGTTGAAAAAATGTTATTTATGGGAGTAGGTCGACTACATTTCGCAGAATGTTTCGTCATATTTGAATCTTGTAAAAGGGCGGTTCTCATTTTCAACAACCAAATATCTGCTTATGTGTACATTGTGCTTCCTGCCCTCCATTTTGAGTAAAAAACTCAATTTCGAGTTGGGTATAAGGTATGATAGTTGCAACTGCCAAGTGCAACTAGAGATATCATTCGACTCTAAACAACTTAATGTTACAGAACTACTGAATTTAAGATGAAATTAGTTTTTTTAGTACTTAATATTATGCAAAACAACAATTCTCTCTATCTTGACTACTTATGAACTTTCTGTAACTTTGTCCCATGGGGCTCAAATTTTTACTACAGGTACTTGGAAGTGTCCTTCAGAAATAGAGTCTATCATTTTTATTTTTGACTTTCTGTCTAGATTTTTTGGCTCCGAGCCTTGACATATTTCTCTCATAAAAATCTAGTTTTTTGAAAACGCTGAAAAATACCTCTAAGATGTCTTCACCCGGATCGTAAAGTAACAGGATGCTATCTTATAAAAAACTAGGATTTTCCTGACGACTCTCTAAAGAATTTCTTTCCTTAAACATGTGTCTCCTTATTTCAGATGCTCTATGTGTTGTAAAAGTTTCAATACGATCGGTTGTATCCTCTTTGAGAATAAAAAATGTACCAAAAAAGAGGCCAGAGTATTCTCAGTCGATCAAAGAACAAAGTCTGATATTTTTCAATATAACTCTACAAAGTCGACGTAGTTTGTTGTACTGATTCCAAATATATGTGTGTTTTTTTTATTATAACACACTTTTATGGAGAAAATTACGAAATAAATGGTAAATTTCTAAGATTTTTATCATAAAAAAATAGTGTAGATTTGTTACATGTGTCGTACTTATTCATCGGCTGCAAAAGGGTGTTATCTTGAGATCCATTGGTGTCGGGTCGATCGAATGGATCTGGATTAAACCATTTCGAGACGTGTCACTCTCGGTCATTAAACGCTCAATACATTCTCTATGGAGTACTTGCCGAGAAAAAAAACATACTGTGATCATGTATGCAAAAGCAAAACAGACTCATTATTATACACACCATTCAGCTCGGTTGAAGAGTTTCTTTGATCGATCGATATATATAAAACAAGATTTAGGAATTAGTCAGGCATTTAATTCAAATATTTGAACAATAGTAATTAAAGATAAAATCTTGATGACCGAAAGATAAATCCAATGTTTTTTCAAGATTATTTTCTGTAGAAAATCCATTCATTCAATTTCAATAATTTATAACAGATTTTTTTCATGTTTGAAAGAGATTTTGTGCATTCGAACGATATCTAAATTTAATCGACATATTTGATAAAAAAAAACTAATCCAAAGTATAGGAAGTCTACATATACACCTGTAAACGACTGTATACATATCTTATGTCTTCGTATACGCCTGTATTTTATGACTCAATATTACGATCGTATATCTTCGTGGCCATATATGGAGTAATACAGCTATTTACGATGAAAAAAAAAGGATACTATATACAGCGTCCGAGTACGAAGAGAGTAAACGAGTGTTCTTTTGCTTCGGATACGAAATGAAGATGGACGATAGTAATTCTCAGTCATGTGTATAATTATATTTCTCCGATTACGACTAAGCTTGTTTAACTAGGGTATTTGAAACAGGACAAAGTGAATGAAAAGGTTTTCGAAGTTTTGATGAAAGTGTTTTGTTAAATTTAATGCATTGGAAAAAACACTTATAAGAACTTGATTAGGATTTCTAATTTAACTGGAAAGTTTGATTGCTTTTTTGCACTGTTATTTTTTATAAACCTAAAGCATGCTTGATCGAACATGCTGATAAATGTGAAAATCATATATACCTTTCCTTATTGCAATATAAATTGCCAAGGCTTTTTTCTTAATGTGTGTCGTATAACAACTAAGAGAAAAAGTGTACTGTTGAAATTTACTATAAAGATAAATTAATTGCATTCATTTGGAAGAATTTTTAGTTTTCTTTTTTTTATACAAGATGATGTGCAGTTAAGTGCATGAAATATCACTGATTTAAGCATATACTTTTCAAGCTGGAATGATAATCATATTTGAAAATGTTTTCAATATTCTTTTCTTGTATATTGATTGAATTAGTTAAGCATCTTTTCCTACTGTTTAGCATCTGTTCTACAATAATATTCGAAAGTCGAAATTAGACGTCAAATGGATATTCACTAGGCGTTTTATGGAAAATGTTATAGATTGCAATTGATGATAAACTAATTTGTTCAAAATCAACTTAGTTTTCTTTTATTTCAAATTTTATCAATTGATCATATAGAGAATATCAATTTTTAGTATGAATTGATCTTTCAGCGGCATCTCTCATGTATAATTTCATTGGTGAATTTCGGTACAGTTAGCTGAATAGAAAAGTTGAGAAAGAATAACAAGGGGGCAAAAGGGTACATCGATTGTTTTTTGTTTTCTCATATTTATATTCTAATTGTAGACAATGAGCAAATCCGATACACGTAAACGACAACGAACAACAAGTGGAAACAGTGATTCAGACTCCGATTCAGATTCATCACAATCAAAACGTAATAAAAATTGTTTCTTTTTTGACATTATTTTAGTTATTTCATTTTCATAAAGAGTTCTTTCCTGATGGCTTTGATGAAAATTATCGTGGAGATGCTAATGATCGAGCATGGTTAAAAACTTTATCTGAACGTGAACGTGAAGCTGAATTATTAAAAAGACATGAACAACGTGAAATAATCAAACGTCGGTAAGAATTTTTCAATCTTATTTCTATAAAAATCTATGGATTTTATTTTCTGTTTTTTTTTTTTATTGTTAGTGAAGAAATAAATAAAAGACTTAAATCAAAAGCTGAAGAATCAGCAGTAAAAAGTGAAGAAGAAGGTGAAATAGATGATCATGATGATGATGAAAGTGATCATGAAAAAACAAACGAAAATTCTACACGTAAATCAAATTTATTTGATAATGATATTTATGCTGAAGATGATGATGATGATGATGATTATCGATCATCAACAAATCGACGAAAACAAATTAATGCTACAAAACAAAAAGAAACTGAACATAGTAAATCTCTTCAATTATTAGTTGAAGGACGAAAGAAAAAACAAGGTAAGCATATCTCTAATATATTGAATTAAATTAAGAATTAGATCTACAAAAAAAGCAAAATTATAGGAAAATACTTTTCCTACTTTTGAAACTTTTCGAATGAGTCTAATTAATATTTTTGTAACCGTTATGGTATCCGATCAAATATTAAAAAAATCGTACTATCAGATGTTGAAATAACTTAATAATCTCAGTCAAAATATTCATGAATAAACATTATCGAATACTGTTTAGCTTAATATGTTGGTAGATTTCTGTGAAACTGAAGAAATTCAAAACCAATTGTCGTGTGTTTCTTTCCTATGATCTCATTCTTTCAATGCCTAGTGTCATTAAACTTCGCATATTGGAGAAAAATCTTAAATTCAAATTGCTCTCAGTCAACTAAATATGATCATATATTTTATTTATGATATTCAAAAATAATATAACTCGATTAATAATTCTATATAAACTTTATATTGTAATTTTTTCTTAGATGAAAAAAACAAAAAATCTGTAATAAAATCTGATGATGTTTCCTCAAGTGATGAAGATGGTCCTGAAAAATCCACTAAAACAAATCAAAAAGATGAAATATGGAAAGTTGATGATGTTTATCAAACATCGAGTTCTGATAATGATAATGATGATGATGACGATGATAATCATGGTAATTCAAATAATCGTCGTCTTCGATCGCGGTTAGAATAGAATTTATATTTCAGATTAAATTATTCAAATCTATTTTTATTTTCAGTTCACCTGATGATCGTACAAATGATGCACGTGAACAAGAGTCTAAACGAAAAAAATGTACACCTATATCAACAAAAGATCAATTAAAATCTATGATATTATCTCGTTTTCGTATGGAAAAGTAAATTATTTCTATTTTGATCTATGGGTTTTTTTTGATCTTATTCTAAATAGATGGTGTCATTCACCATTTTTTGCTAAAGTAGCAAAAGGTGCATTTGTTCGTATTAATATTGGTCAAAATAATGGTGAACCAGTTTATCGGGTAATATATTTTATACTTTCCCTTCCCGGAGTTTCTAAAGAACGGCTTATCAAAAGTATTTGAAATGTTCACAGTAGATAGATCTCGATGAGTAGAACAAAATTTTCCATAGATTTGAAATTTCAAACTACTTCTTTCTAGGAAAGATCGTAGAGCCTAAAATCGCTTCGCTTTCTCAATTGCAATACGTTCGATTATACTTGTAACTCGAGCGATAATTTTTAAGTTTCTAGTTGTTATCAAAATCTCAGATCTAAATATTCATCTAACCCTTTCTTCTCATACGATGAAAGCCTCGAGTAACTTGGGATGAATTGATTATGCTCACAAAAAAATTAGTCATATGCTCGAACTTAATGTGTATCTCAACTAAAGATTTTTCACCTCAAAATTTCGAACATACTGTCAGAAAAGAATTCGATCTCTTGCCAAATACTAACATCATCCCATATTATTATTGAAAAAAATTAGTCGACGAGTTACTGAATGAAATGTTATAGACGAAAATAGAGTTTGTTACTATTGGAAACTCCAAAAATTTTACACTGTGTCTTTGCAGAACTGAAGTTATAGACTTTCTCGAAAGAACTAATTGCTTAGTTTACACGATTTTTTTTGTCACGTCAGTCATGAATTTCAACCGATCGATTTCAAGTATATGTTTGATAGAATTGAGATTTTCTTTGATTTTATCTCTTTCCATAAAGCCAACAAAGCAATATTTTTTGAAAGCAAAAAGAAGTAACCATTCAAAGTAGTGTTCAGCATTTGTAAAAGATTTCAATTCGATCAAACGTATTATGTTGAAGAAACCGAAGTGCAGGGAGAGAGCGGTACTCTTACACTTTTTTCATGTAAAAGCGCATTTTTGTCAAATGATTGAAAACTGACAGTGTTAGAGACCTACAATGTATACTATCAGCAGCTTTCGAAACTATCATTAGAAGATTTTTGCATATATGGAATAATGGTAATCTGAATTCGATTTAAATTGAAAAAATTTTCCTTTTAACATTCGGAAATGGGAAGGGTCTCTTCAAGTAATCATTATAATAATTATTTGATTTAGGTTTGTGAAATATGTGATGTCGTAGAAACAGGAAAAATATATAATCTTGGTGTAACACGTACAAATAAAGGTCTTCGTTTAAAGTATAAAATAACTATTTTTTGTTTCTTTTTTTCTGTACAATATTTTCTCATTTAGACATGGAAATAATGAGCGTATATTTCGACTTGAATATGTATCAAATAATGAAATATCAGAAGGAGAGTTTCAACGTTGGAGAGAAGCAATGATCAAACAAGTAACCAATAAAATCAAACGAATATTTTATTTTTTGTTTCTTTTTTCATGTCTTTAGGGTATTGCATTGCCAACATTAGATGATCTTGAAAAGAAAATGAAAGAAATTGAAGAAAGTAAACATTATGTTTATAATAATAATGATATAACACATATAGTACAAGAAAAAAAACGATTTCGTAAAGCACCAATAAATTATGCTGTAACAAAAAATGAATTATTAAAAGAAATAGTATATTAAATAGTATATTTTAATTGATAAGAAAAAAAAACACTTGCATTTTTTGTTTTTTAGGAAATAGCAAAAGATGAAAATGATATTGAAAGAGAAACTGAATTAAGAAAACAGCTTACTGAAATGGAAGAAAGAGCTTCAGAACTTGATCGTAAAAGATCAGAGAATATTTCTGTTATGGCGTAAGTAAAAATACAACAAAAAGAAAACGAGAGAGTGAAAGAACGAAAGAAAAAGAGTGAAAAAGAACAGAACCAGTAAATATGAGGTCAAAAAGGAAGGCAAAAAAAAGGTATGAGAGGTCGACAGCTGCAATGTAGTCGGACATTAATGTTCAGTAAATATATGCGTTATCGATATATTAATCGTTATGCGTATTCATTTGTTATCATTTTCTCGTTTTGCTGGATTATTTTTCGTTGTAAAAATAATTGCAAAAATTGTCAACGAATATTAACGAAGGACGAATCAATTGGAACGTATGATATACCGAATATAGTGCATTTTATTACGGGACAAGGTGATTCATCAGATGCAATTCTTGATCGATATGGTCCACGTCTTGGTTTTCGTCGAATGGAACGAGCTCCTCCTAAATTTCAATTAATAAATTATCTCGTTCTACTTTCTGCTCGTAAACATATTAAACCCGATCAATTATATGTTCATTATACTTTCGAACCAACTGGTTATTGGTGGTTAAAAGCTAAACAAGATCATGAATTAAATTTAACACTTAATCATATTCCCGAAATAACATCAATCTATAATTATCCATTATATCATCATGCTCATCGTACTGATATTGCACGTTTAGAAATTCTTGATAAATATGGTGGTATTTATCTTGATTTAGATGTTCTTATTATAAAATCATTTTCACAACTAATATCTAATCCATATAATGTTGAAGCTATATTTGCTTGGGAAAATCAAAAATTTAATGCTATATGTAATGCTGTTATTATAGCACCAATACATTCAAAATTTCTTCGACGTATTTATCAATCATATCAAAGTTTCAATTCATCTTGTTGGGGTTGTCATTCAGTATTATTAACAGGACAACTAGCCAATATATATAAGAATGAAGTTCATATATTACCTTCACGAGCTTTTTTTAAACCATCATGGTCACATATCGAAGATTTATATGTATATAATACATATAATTTTAAAAATAACTATGCATGTCATCTATGGAATTCTTATGTTGGAAAAATATTTTTATATAATTTAACATTAAATTCTATATTGAAACCTAAAAAAATGACAACATTTATTCGAATGATTATTCATGGTGTTGGAAAAGAGAAATTAAACATGATTGCGCGATAATCTTTTTTTTTTCTTTGTTGAAAATAAATTGTATTAAATTTCAAATTAAGTTTTTTTTTTGTTCATTTTTTTTCTTTTTCAGTCAAATTAATCGAAGAAATCGAGAAAGTACACAAAAAAATATTGAACTGGCTTTAGTTGTAAGTGACTAATTGTGTTTCTTTTTTTAAAGTTTACTTAAATAAAATCTAATTACTATAGCGTGAAGCACAAGAACATCGAAATACAGCGGCAGATCCATTTACACGTCGTCGTTGTGCACCAACACTTGTAACAAAAGTAACTATTTCAATTAAAACAATATTAATATTGTATATATGGATTTATATTTAGACTCCACAAGTCAATATAAAAGCAGATCTATTACGAGAATTACAACACGAACGACGTGCAATTGAAGCAGCAGCAATGAAAAAACAACTTGATGAACAACGTTTATTAGTAAAAGAAAATATCAATTACGAAAAAACAAAACACTTTTAAATATTTTATTAGGCTGAACAAAATAAATCTTCGACAACAACAAATACAACAGCAAAAACAACTACAGATACACCAGATAAAACAGTATGAATTGAAAAAAGACAACAAATATAAGTTTCGAAATTTCCCAATAGAATTTTCTTATGAAATATCAGATAAATTACATAATGAAAGTGAAATTTTTATAAATCTTACTTAACTTCTAATATGAAAGAAATAGAATAATTCTAGTTAGTGACTGCAGATATGAAGACTAAATTCAATGATCGAAATCTATATAATAGACACAAACTCTGTCGATCAGTGAGTTTGATATATCTTAATCAAATTCAGAGTTACACTAATTCTTAGGTAGAATCAGTTCTGTTTGGTCTTGCATCCAGGTATGAAATTTAATAGTCAGAAACACAACATTCACAAAATATCGAATGGTTTCATTTCAAAGCTAGTTCGCAAAGTTATTCAGTTCGGAAATTGATGGTTTATACTTACAAGATTCTAACTGAACCAAAAATGAAACATTACAAAGTATTCAGAAAATCAACTACATATATATATCTTCACTGTGATTAAACCAAATCAAATGGCTGATTGCTTCTGGTAATAGAGAAGACTTGCAAGTTTATAAGTTCTCTGGAAATCGATAATTTTTGCATTCAATACATAAAAAAATCCTTTTTGTTTCGAGTTTTGGAAAACAAAATGTAAGGTTATTTTTATTCGTCCGATTTTCCTTTTACTTTATAAATATTTGTACACTATTTTTTGAAAAAATCTGAGTCTAGTCTCAAACCTTGTCACTGCAGAAACTCTAAAATCATGCTAGTCGTATCAGTCAACATTGTATCAAGCTTCTTGATCAGCGAGGAATGTACTAATTATTTAAGTACCATACAGATATTTATCAAATAAGAAAATGACACCATAATAATTATAACAATCCTGCATTCTCTTTTCCGAAACTCGGAAAAATAGACCTTCTTTTTTTTAATATATTAAATTCGAAACTTATCGGTTTCAGGAGGACTTCTAAACTCTTAAGCCTCTTCTATTAACATAAGAAAAACAGCCATTTGATTTGATTTAACTGCAGTGGAAATATATACATTTTTTTTTCGTAGATGACTTTTCACAGATCCTCTGATATTCATTTCAACTCCGAAATAAAGAAAACAATTCTAAAAATAATGTTTTTATCCTGTGTGAAGGGTAGAGTTCGTCGGATTCAAAATTTTCAGATCCCTTTTTTGGAACTAACGTGAAAAGCACTAATAGACGCACGAGAAAGTAGTATCCCCTTGAAAAATCAGATTCACCCCTCATGGAGTTTTAAATCGACTTTTTCGGAACAGAAAATCCTATAAAAAAAATATTGATTTTATTTTAATTTAAATATAAACATCTTATTTTTATTTTTTTTTTAGCTGTCAGAAAAAAGCTTTACAACAATGACAACTGGTGAACGTGGTTCATTTACATCATTTTCCGAACATAATGATGAAATGTTTACATCTCATGATTTTGAACTTGATCTTAATATAAAACTTTTTCCAGATTAGTAGAATTCTTAAACAAATTTGTTTGATGTTGTTTACTACCTATATCCACTTCAAACATACTCGGTTATCTTTTTGTTTGTTTGTGCTTGTATATGTAAAATTATATAAATATATATAAAACTATAAAAAAACAAAACAACAAACAAAATTTACATGTATTTTCTTTTCAGATTAATTTAATGGAATATTCAACGCATGTATTTATCCAACAAACACCAATAACAGAACAAAATTTTGAATTAAAGTAAATAGAAATAAACATTTATTTGTTTTTTTTTTCTTTTTAATATTGTTTTATTTAATAGACTTCAAGATATATCTGATCAAATAACAACCAATGGTTGTGTGTGTCCAAGTGTATTTTCATCATTTACAAATCTTGTAGTACAACAAGCAGTTGTTTCATCACGACATATTGCTTTTTTACTTCAAGTAATATTTTTATTTATTTATTTATTTTTCAAATAAATAACAATTTGGTATATTTATTAATTAGGATGGACGTATTTGTCGGGTATCATTTCGTGTTCAAGCTGATAAAATTGAACCAATACCAACAGAAACAACGAAAAGTAAACCAAAACATATAACACCTCAAACAATACGTCCTCAATCTCGTCAATCGATTCAACGTTCAAGTAATTTTGATCGTCCAAGTTTTGAAAATCTTGTTTTATCCTCATCAAATCCATCTATAGCTGCACATAATGCTGCAGCTGCTGTTGCTAATACAACAAATTCAACAAATCCAAGTGGACAAGTTGATTTATTACCACAATTACAAGCTGGTTATCCATTAAGTCGACAACGACATCATTTAATACGAACAGCACGAGGACGAACAGGTATTATATTTGGTTCAAGACCTTTAATACCAGCATCAAGTGTTCCTGAAGAATTAATTGAACAAGTAATGAAAATATAAAATAATAAAAACAAAAACAAAAAAAGATTTTGATTTTGTATCTTTTTTTTTCTCTTAGGTTCAAGTTGTTCTTCAAGGAAAATCAAGAAATGTTATTTTAAGAGAATTACAAAGAACGGTAAAATGAAATTAAAACAAAAAATATATATATATTAATTCTTTTGTTTTTTCTTTTCTAAAAATAGAATTTAGATGTAAATATGGCTGTCAATAATCTACTCGCACGTGATGACGAAGGTGATGAAGATCTTGATGATGATTATGTCGGAGGTAAGAAAAAGAAATTCTATTTAGATTAATTTTCATTATTATTATTTTGTTTTTAGCTGATCTCATCTCCTTACTTGATGTTAATCCACATAATGAACATCCAGGAATAATACTTGAATCAGAATTTTTCGACGAAGCTGATTTTGCTTTACGTTATAGTAATATACAGCGTCGAGTTGTTTCTGCTAGAATTGGAAATGTTGGTACGTAAAAACATAAGAATATATTTCATATAATTCTAAAGTATTCTTCATTGACAAATCATTGAGACCGGTACCAAGAAAACTTTGCCGCGCACATCTCTACTTGAGAAACATAGCGAAAATTTTAATAGCAGTTTTAGCTATTGTAACTTTATTGTAAAATCATCAATATTTTCTCAGACAAAACGAAAATTAGGTGTTATGTCCTTTTTTTGGTCTAGGTTTAACTTATTCGTCTGGGCTTTTATAGAATTATAAATTTATCGACCAATTTTCTCGAAAAATAATATAACTGACAATATAGGCTCGGCCATAAATATCTGTGCGATAGGAAATTCAATTATTTTCACTTTTCTCAAAGGAATTGGAATAATTTCCTTTCAATTATCCACATTCACTTTAATACGGATATTAACCTTTCACAAAAAGAAACGTAGAATAGTTCAGGCATATTTTTTTAATAATTTTAACGTCGGATAGTAACAAGAAAACTTAATCACGGATCATAGAACAAAAGATACGATCGAATACACACGTTGGAATATAAAATGTTACATTACTATATTGAAATAAATGTCGACAATTGAAAGTAGTGTTCATTAACAATTTTCTTGAGTCGAAGGAATTAAACTTCTCAGAGCATAGCCTTTATATAAAAAAATTATTGCAAATCGCTACATTAATTAAGATAATACACTGATTTTCATTAGATATTTCATCGTCTTCTGTAATCTATTTCAAAGAATATGAATGAAGAATACAAGACCGGTATTGCCAGTTTATTTCATTCGAGAGTTATAAGACTTCTTGAAACTGAAATTTTGATATACCACAATGACTCTGAATCTTCTCTCTTGAATGGTGAAAACTACAGACAGATCTCTATTATGTTTCTATTAAAAGTTATTCAAAAACTAGTAGAACATAATAAATTTTGTAATTGATAGTAGTACAATGCAAAATCTTTTATATTCTAAAACGAATCTCCAAAAAACTAAAAATCAAATCATATTTCAATAATAAGAGAAAAAAAAATTGACCAAATTTTCTATTCTAGCAAATAATCCATCTGCTCCAACCGTTGCATCATCCGCATCTGCTGCCATAAGTTCTTCCTTAGGTGATCAATCTAATGTCACGAATTCAAGTTCAACAAATCCTCCATCAACAACAAATTCTTCAACAGTTGTAACGTCATCTACAAGTTCAAATCCATCATCAACAGCAACAACATCATCAAATCCAACTGAACGTGATCGTAAACGTAATCGTTATGATCCACGTTGGCTTGATGGTTCATTACGTGAAGAATTATTTGGTCGTATTGATCGTGAATTAAAACCTGATGATTTATCTATCGTTAAAGATAATACATCAACAAAAACATCATCTATTCGTAAAGATCAAAATTCATCATCATCATCACAATCGAATCTACCAACATATCAACAGCAAACTTCTGCACCAGCATCAATAACATCATCATCATCATCATCATCAATACAAAATCCAATTATATTTGGTGATCAATTACAATTTTGGACTGAACAAAATAATGAAAATTCCTATCCACGTTTTACACATATAGCATGTCTTTATTCAGAATTAATTGCCATTAATATTAATGGACAATTATGTCAATGGAATTGGCAAGATGAATATCCATATCAAGATCCTGATAATTTACAAATAAAACATCCAAAAACAATTTTATTACAGTTATTTAATGAAAAAATAATTAATCTATCAGCTAATATAATACGTGCATCAATATTAACTGAAACAAATCGTTTAGCAACATGGATCGATGAATCATTAGGTTCCCAAGTTAATTTTAAATTTCAACATACATTACAAGAACTTTCATCAACAATACCATTGCATATTGTTGATATTCAAACATCACCATTATTTACAGTTATAAGAACAGATACAAATGATTTATATTGGTATGGTTTATTACCAAATAAACCACGTAAAAAATTACTTGAACGTTTAAAAGAAAAAACACGTAAAAATCGTACAAATAATTCAACACAACAACAGCAACAACAACAACAACAACAACAGCAAATAATTACAATTGGTTCATCTGTTTGTTTAATATCAAATCCATATTATAATCAAGGTGCATTAGCTTTTTATATACGTGATGGACAACCGAAATTAGGACAATTAATGGAACAAGCATGGATGTTATCTAATACAGCACGTTTTCGTATAAAAATTCCTGAATTAATAACAAATAAAAATAAAGAAGATGATAAAAGTTCATTAGAAATGCCACCACCACCATCACCAGCATCATCAACATGTAGTGTAGATTCCAATACAAGTTTTGCATCATCATTAAAACGTAAAAAACATAATAATACAACAACAACAACAACAACAACAACAACGACAACAACTACAAGTGCAACTAATGGTTCAAATCCATTTTTAATGACAATTAACGATAGTGATTCAAATGAACAACAACAGCATAGTAAAATTAAAGATGAAGAATATTGGCCATTAGATGAAGTTGTTTTTATTGAAGATTGTAAAGTAGCACCTATTGGAAAAGTTGTTAAAATTGATGGATCACTTGTACTTGTAAAATTTCCATCAAAAACTAATAATAATAATAATAATAATGATACGAATGAAACAAATATTGATATGAATAATCTTGAAAATTGTAGAATTCTTCGAAAAGATGATTTACAAGTAGGTTTTTAATTCAATTTATTTTTTATCTCTTGTCAAGACACATATTCTTGATTATATAGACAATAAGATATCTATAGAGGGAAAGCTAATGGATTGTAGACTAACGATCATGTTATTTCTCAATATGACTATAAGAAATTCTTTTAGATATTTATTTGTTGATTTTCTAGAAAAATCAATCAATGAAGACATAAGGAAATTTCTCATGGTCATATCAGCATAGTCAATAGTCCATACGCTTCACTGATTTTTTTGTAGTGAAAAAGCCATTGAACAGTTAAAAACGTTCCTTCGTTAGTTGATAATAAAGACACTAATAGAAAATATACAATAACATATTTTTTATTTCGTTTTTTTACATAATCAGACATGGAACTCCAAATCGAATAGTAATTTAAGTCAAAGCTCTTGACAGTTTTCAGATTTGGAAGAGGCCAAAAATTTGACAGACAGCCGAGAGTAGTCCGTCTAGCAGAAAATGACTGAGAAAAGCTGCCTTTTTACGCTGGGTAGTAGAGATCATCGCATTGGTTCGGTGTTTCATTGAGAATATCAAAGTACAGGTCGGCTGAAACTAGATCAAGGGATGGACTCTGCGTGACAGGCAGTTTTCAAACAACAGCTTCAAGTTTTCGCAGATAAGACCTACGAAGTGATGGAGATCATCGCTACCCTAACTCCTCTCACATTGACACCTATAGTTTGAGTAGCCAATCAAGTTCTCTATCAAATACATTCTATGTAGAGACTCTGAGAGGAAGGTTTTTTTTGAAAAATCAGACATGGCAATTTTCGGGTCCTAGAAAACTATGTGAATATTAGTTTCTAAGAGTACCATATTGAAGAGTACAAAGTCTTGAATGAAACAATGCATTGTCGAATTTTTT